CTGAGAGGGTAATTGATTGCTGATAAATGTTTCTTGATACCAGAATTGTGGATTTGATGTTACATTTCATCCAGTGGATATACCATCTTTCCAATATGGCTTCTATGTCAGGTGAGTAACTACAATTATTCTCATCTCTATACTAAAATGTAGCTACTGATAGCAAGTCCAACATTTGAGTTATTTAAACTTAATTTTTAATTTCAAATTTATAGTTTCTTACAATTTAAATTTAATTTCTCATTCACCTAAATATGATTTTAGAAATTTCTACATTTTTCATTCTTTAACAAATAAACTACAAAATAAATAAAAAATATAAGTTTTCCTTATAACTTAATAACTTATACTATAACAAAATAAACGTATTAATAACTTATACTGTTATACATCATGATTTATGAGTCATATACCCAACCAGAACATGTGATTAATAATTGCTACGGTAGCGGGCAATCATTTTTGGAATCTAAACTGGCAGCAGACTGCAATTTTTTTATTTTTTTTTTTCTGTGTTAATACGTTTATCAACGCCACGTATCACTCAAGAAAAGCAAGAATAGAGGGCATCTAAATTTGAAACTTCAAACCAATTAAGAATTCTGACGTTAATTAAATCCTTTATATGATACATGATGTGCCCGAGCTGGTATATCCTAAATCCAATTAAGAATATAATGGAGGGTTTACCTAATTGAATATTGACCCTATTAATTTATGCTCGATTTTTTTTTTTCTTTTAATTATGATTCTAGCTTGATGAGCCAAACATGATTCGATTTGAAACATAAACTAGTACACGGGTGTTGAGTTAAAAAATATATGATAAAAGTTATTGCTAAATTAAAAATTTTATTTAAAAATTTTGATGAACAAATTGATAAAAAAAAAAAGAAAAAAAAAGGAATAGACAATGCAGAAAATGATTTGTACATCGTAATTTATGAGAGAAATGTGAGAGAAAATTATAAGATGATAAGATTGCTATATGCCCAAACTAAGAAGGAAATGTGTACTAAGAGAAAAAAAATAACAAAATTAAATGTATACTTACCTATTTGAAAAAAAAGTTATTTATGGCTAATACCAAGCCTAATTCTATAGTAAAAATGAATATACAAACAACATTACGAAACACAAATTTTCGTCATGTCATCATCCGAAGCGTGCGAGTCTGCTACTTAGACTCAGCACATTTTGAATTAATATATAAGAAAGGATGTTCCAATTTGGCTCGAATTTTGAATTAGAAATATATAGTTGGGGATATTTAAATAATTTTATGAATAATCGAATGACTAATAATTTCATGAATATATGGTTAGGGATAGTTAGAGATATATTTATTGTACTAAGTAGTAATAATATATGTCGATTTAATAGTAAAATACTTTGTTACTGCATGCTATAGTCATTGGGTTTTTGAAATAATTAACATATATACTCATATAATTAAATATGTGTGTATAAACTTGACGACTATCGGGTGAATCAAAAAGGAAAAAAAAAAAAAATCATTCATTTTATTCAGAAATAGGAAGTTAATAATAATAATAAAAAAAAGTCTTGTTTTCCGATAATGTACACAATAATGCAAGCAAGCTAGAAAAGGACGTTTAAGGATAATAAGAAAAAATGAATTATGAAGCTTTTATTCTGCAAATTGGTCGGCCGGCATAGCATGTGCTCTTCCATTTTCCTTGTTTTCCTAAATATCAGGAATTTAACATATATGAAAAAGAGAGAGAGACTTTCAAAGCAATCAAAATTATTGACAACATGAGTTTTGGACATGCGCGAACCATCTTCTAGAAACATTGGAGTGTGTTTGTATATGTACATGTTCAATCCACCCTCAATTTATAATCAAATTAAACTAAACTTCAATCCAAGTTTAATTATTCTCAATATTATCAATAAAATTCAATAATATAAATCAATTATTCTTACACATCATATCAACTTTAATTTAAGAGTACGACTACAGCCCCCATCAAGTTATACTCCATCAACCAACTCCCTTACGTGGATATTGATGTGTTTGCTTAGTCATTGGTTTCTTATTATTTGGTACAAAAAATAAAGTCATATTTATTAAAAGTCTTTAACCTCTCTTACTCTTAACAAATTAAATTATATCTTAATATTTTTCTTTTTTTTTTGGTACAATGAAAGCGACTAGCCTTAAGGGCTGAGGTCGCACACGTTATGCGAATAAGAAACGCCTAAAACATCATGATGAATTCATGCCGAACCCCACTCGGCAGCTCGATGAAGAATTGATATCCCATTTCCCCTTCCGCAGCGAAGTAGGCCAAGTGGTCGGCCGCAAAATTCGCCTCGCGGAAAACATGTTTAACTTTAACCTTCCAAGCACGACTTAAGAGTTCCTTGATACCCCCAATAAGGCTCGTATGCACCCTTGGTACCTCATTCAGAGATTCCGCTAGCCCCACTACACTGGCACTGTCAACCTCGGCTTCCATCAGTCTAAACCCCATATCCCACGCCAAGCAAATCTCCTTCAGCCCTGTATCATGGTGCACCACTGTGGGGCCACTGTCCGGTCGTCCACGCGCCGGTCGATAGACATTAACGGAACCCCCACAACCGGTTCCTACGCCGTCACCCTAGCCTCGGCGGCGCCGCCGGCTTCCTCCGCCGCGGCCGCGCATTTACGAGCGCCGCCGGCCATCGACGACACCCCTTTTCTCGGCGACTAGTCCTCCTTCCCCACTCGCAGCCGGTTCCTACGTGGTCCCCCCAGCCTCGGCGGCGCCGCCCACTTCTTCTGTCCCTACCTTCGTGAAGTCGCGAGCCCTTTGATTTGCGATTCTTTATGTTGGAACCAATTTTATTTTGCAGCAATAAAATAAGAGAAAACTCAATTTTAATCAATTATTGAAAACTTAAAATTTATGGAGAACTAAAACAGGAAAAAATAGAGAAAGATAAGAGAAGAAATATAGGGCAAAAGACGATTTGGGGGAATTAGATATGGAAATATGGAGAGAGATATAATGCAAATATGAAATTGAAGGGATTAGTGATGTGGGTTTGACACGTCATAGAGTACCCAATATGTGGAACTTAGGCGGAGCAAGGAGTGTTTTCGTTAATTTAAATATTCATTCACTCACATAATTTGAACTAATCATTACTTTACACCATCTCTATCATACTTTTACATTAAACCAACTCTAATTATTTAATTTTAAATATTATTTGAATGTAAATCAAAATCCTACTGACAACTAATCATACCACTTTTTTCAAAATACCTCTGGTTAACCAAAAAATTTTTTTTTGAGCGGATATATTTGTATACAAATACGCCCTAAATCAAGACTATATTGAATTAATCAGTACCACAACAGTTAAATTTTCTAAATCGGGATTGTATTGAATTTATCTCTTATTTCGATTATTTGCTCAAAAAATGCACTTTGGGTGCAATAATAATTGTGGTAGGTTTAACGGTTATCTAGTCATACATTTTCGAATACACACACACACATATATATATATATATATGCACGTATTTGTATTTAAAAAAATTATAAAAAAATATAACATTTCATAGTTTAAATATGCATTTTTGTTTAAAAAGTGTGAGGTATAACATTTCATAGTTTAAATACGCATTTTTGTTTAAAAAGTGTGAGGTATAAACTATAAGGTAGTACCATTTAATTCCAAACTGAACTCGAGTGGATTAAGATGAAAAATCAAGTTTTTTTTTTTTTTTTCTCAGTTT